CCAGGCAGTCCCAGGTCAAGAGCCACCCTCCACACACCCGGGGCCTCCTAGTGCCACAGAGCTACGTGCTCAGGGGAGACAGGGCACCGAGACAAAGGGCAAGGCAAACCGGAAGAGGCTAGCGACTGGCTCCTCAGAGACGTGAGGGCTCACGTCACCTTTCCAACTTCCTGCGCCTCCTGTGCATCCCTCTGGACACCATGAAGTGACAGCATGGGGGTGGGGTGCGGGACCTGGCGTGACCACTCCGCCACCACCAGCTCTGGCGGCCTCGGCCGCATCAGTGAGCTCGGGGAGTCCACAGTGCCCCCACGGCAGCAGTGAGTGAAGGACTCAGGAGCGTGGCTCGAGCCCAGGACTCCACACGGGCGCCACCGCACACACACATGCTACAGACCGCTGCGGTCCAGGGAAGCCGGGGACGGCCCCTGACCTTCTCCGGGAAGTTGCCTTTCTGCCGGCAGGTCAGAGGGCCCCCTCCCAGGTGGGCCACAGAGACGCTGCTGAGGAGCGGCTACACGAGGGCAGGAGAGAACGAGGGTGTCCCCTCTGCCAGAAGACAGCATGCGCTGGGTGGACGGGCAACCCCACGCCCTGCCCAAACCTATGCAGGCAGCTGGGAGACACCAGGGGGCACCGGGCAGGGAAGGCCGAACTGGGAGCCAAGGGAGGGGAGCCTGCTGTGGCCGAGTGTGAGACATGCGCGCGCGCGACACACACACACACACGAGGCAGGGGGGCTCCAGCCACAACCCCACGCAGGGCCTGCACCATCCGGGTGGATAAGGGTACCAGCGGTCCCGCTCTGCCCATGCGCAGAACGCACAACAACAAAGTCAGGAGCCCACGTCCTGAGTACCGCTGACAGCCAGCAACTGTTTATTGAAAGTAGCAAGGAGGACCCCGGTTGCCACCTTCAAGACTGGATGTGACTCTTGGCACTGAAGGCCAGATAGTAGATAACCAGGCCGATGGCTGCAGCCAGCACCTCGGTGGACACCCAGGGTCCATTCCAGGTGCCCTGCAAGAAAGGAGACCAAAGCTGGCTCAGGGGAGAGAGAGGAAAGGAGCCAGCCAGCCCCGGCCACCCTCCCTCTAGGGCACAAAGGCACACTGGCCAACTCCCAGTCCAACCCCGCCCCTCCAAAAGGGCAAGGCTCGCTGCGTGCAACCTGCTTCTCCTCGGCCCACTCACCCGATGGTCCACACTGACTGTGAACAGGGGTGGGATGATGGAAATGTCCTCGTTATTTCTCTGAGCCTGCAAGGAGATGCTGCGGTCAGGGGTGCATCCAGGTGGGGCGGGGAGAGAGACTGGGCAGGCAGGAACGTTGGCCCGAGCCACAGAAGAGTGGAGAGCCGAGCAAGAGAGAAACACGGACGGTGCGAGGACAGGCATGGCAGCTGGTCAGGAAGGTGCCCACCGGGTCAGCCTGCTCGGTGAAGGCAGGGCCCCAGTGGCCTGGAGCTCGAGGAAGAGGGACTACAGGGAGAAGGTGGCTGTGGAAGTGGGGCGCACCCTCCCTCCTGCAGGCCCGGGCAGGGCTCCGGGTCACTGGTACTCACCTTCCTCAGCAGGCTGTAGGATTCCTCGTCGAAGAATCTGACCTCATAGGTGCCTGCATGGGCACTCTTGTGGTCTAGGCTCCAGGACACCTGGGTCGGGTAGGTTTGGCGGGGGGTGGGCACAGTGGACACATCCAGGCCCCCTGCCGGTGCTGACAGTACCGCTACCCGCAGCCTGAGTCAAACAGCCTCAATCCTGCTCCACTGGGCCACCCCTAGGGCTTCAAAGTCATGCCAGCAGGCAGATGGCCTCCCCCCCAAATGGCAACCGTCGAATCCCTTACCTGATAACGTCCCACATCCTGACCCCGGGTCACGGGAAATTGTTTTCCACTGACATCAGCATAAAGGGCCATGTTCTGGGACGGGACAAAGAGAGAGTCACCTCCTCCCCTCCCTGGCTGTCAGCAGAAGCTGTACTGTGCTGCCCACAGCAACACTCATGGCCAGCAGGGCACACTAGGGGACTGGGCTGTGTCTGGCAGGGGGCACCGCGGGAGAGCCACGGGGGTGACCCTGCCGCAACCAGAACCATGCCAGGAAGCCAAGCTCCACTGATGCCATTACTGCCTCTCTGCACGTCTACCCTACGTGGGGGATGCACCCCCACGATGGCCTGGCCTCGCTAACCCACAGCAAGCCTAATAACTGCGACCGCAGGCAGGGTGACTGAAGTGTGCTTGTTCCTCTGAGCCTGGAAGAGGGTGTTGGGGTCAGGGGGCAGCCAACGAGCCACCCAAGGAGGGGTGCACCCAAAAAAGGCCACCTCGGCAAACAGCAACCAGGAAAGGGCTACGGGAGCCCAGGGACCGAACCCCTGCTCTCTCACTTCCGAGGACCCTTACAAGACACAGCAAGAAGTCCACCTACGTTTTCACACCTAGGCAGACTAGAAAAATGTTCTTTTAACACCTGGTTCAAACAATCTGGCCTGGCTGTGCCCTACCCTCTCTCCACTACCTGTAAATCAAAATCCTCATTCGCCCTCTGTCTATCTACACGGGTCCCTGGGTGGGATCCCATTAACTGCCAGTGAGGTCCTAGGCTCCCTGTGGCCTCCTGCTCTGGCACTCTCCTGGCTGAATGCCCCCTGCCTCACCTGGACCCTGTTCTTGCACGTCAGGGAGATCTCCACGATGAAAACGGTCTCAGTGGAAATGACGGCATCCGAGGTGGTGTAGTAAGAAGGGGTGATCTGGGGCTCCACGCAGGCCTCTGCTGTGGGGAGGAGGCAGACGTACTGAGGTAAGGCCCAACTTGTGGGGTGCTGGGGGGCAGAAGGGACTGCCCACACCCACTTCCCAGACCTTGTCAGCTGATACACGGGACCCTTTGGGACCTGTCAGGTGAGATGCAGGAGACAGATCCAAACGCTCAGCCAGAAGTGTAGCAGCAAGGGGAGGGGGAGGGTGGGAGGGCCTTGAAGGAAGGCCAGGGAGGCCAAGGCTCTGTGCTGGCGGAACCTCAATGTAGGGGCAAAAGAGCGGGGGTGTGAGCACGCGTGGGGGGTGGAGAGGCAGCAGCAGCAGGATGGATTCACTGCACACCTGGTGCCTGCGGCTGCACCTGTGGCCCCGAAGCCATGCGAGGATTGGGGTTGCAGTCGGACCTCGATTCGGAGCCATGCACAGCCCTGGCCAGTTTACTGACGGCACCCTCCGCGGACGCCAAGCATGGAGCGGCTTGCAACGGATGAGGGCTTGAGATGAAAGGGTCTCTGCCCCCACCCACGGCTGACAGAAGGCCAAGACTGGCCCCAGCGTCTCCCAGGGAAGGAGACGGGCACAGCTCGTACCCTGTAACAGCGCTGCCCCGAGAGAAAGGATGCTGCCTCAGCCATCGTCCCGCTGCTAGAGGCTACAGGGAAGGAAGGATACTGCCTAAATCACAGGGTGCCAAGCAGATGCTGCCAGTGGGAAAGTTCTCAGCTGCTCTCTGAATGTGTCCTGGCACAGCCATGCATCAGGCTGAGACAGAGGAGCCTTGCATCTGGGCAGCAGGAGGAAGATGCCTGGGAACGCCAGTGGGGGGTGGTTCTCAGGAGCCACATCTGTGCCCCGCTAAGCTTGACCTTTTTCCTAAGGACCCTGTGGAGCACCAAAGGGTTTTACAGTCAGGCGCGTCCCTTCCAGACACCACTGGCCACACCATGGCTAATTCCTGAGGGGCAGGTGAGAAGGGTGCAGGCAGGGAAGCCAGTTAGGCAGACGAAACACTATAGGCACCAAAGGCACTGGCCTGAGTAGCGTAGGTAAAGTGAATGTGTAGAAGTGTAGAAAGTATCCGTGACTCAGTCTAGGGCCCCCAGACTTCGCGCTGGCTCCTGCAAGACCTCGTCCTCAACACACTTCTGGACTCCAGTTCCTGAGCTCAACCCCGCCACTAGGTGTTAAGAATCTCTCAAGAATGTATGTATGTACAGATCTGACTGTGGCTCAGCTGTGCTGAAAAGCCCTTCATAAATATACCAGGGCCTCAGGGGAAAAGTCAACGGTCTGGCCTGGCACTCAAGCCTTCGCCCAGCCTTTTTCCCTTTCTCCCCTCTTCTCCAATCTAACTTGCCTAGCTCATGGTCCTTCTGCCTGGCCCATCCCCGCTTCCTCTCTTCACTTACAGCTCCCTTCCTGGGGAGACCTGGCCCCACGTCACCGGGTCAGGTGGCTCCTCTCCCACTAGCCTAGTCTCTCACTCCGATCGCCCTGCGCTGCAGAGTTTTGCTCGTGTCCGGCCACCCCCGCTCCAGGACTGGGAGTTCCGGGTGGGAGCAGGGACGTGTGTCAATTTCCCTGCTGGAGCCGGGAACCGGGCGCACGAGACAGATTATGGTACTCTTCCTCGCAGAAGCGGCCGGGGGCGGGGGGTGGTGAGAAGCTTTGGCTGTTTCTTCCGGCAGCGTGGCTGCTGGGTAAACGTGTGTTGTAGGAGCGTGTGGTGGCCTCGGTCGCCGCGCGCCGAGGCCACCTGCCTCTCGGAGGAAGAAGGCCCAGAACCCCGCTTCGCCCGCACCCCTCCTCCCCCCACGCACCACCAGTCGTGGGAGAGAGGCTCGCCAGAAAGGGGCTCCGGCCAGGCCGCTACCTGAGCAGCAGGAGAGGCTGGACAGCAGGAGTAGCGCCAGGGCGCCGAGAGATGCCAGCGCCGCCATCGCCTCTTCTCTGCCGAGGGAAAAAGGGAGAGACTCTCCTGAACACGAGGGGCAGACGAGGAAGCGCGACGCGTAAGCAGCGGGAGCAGCCAATCAAGCGCCGGCGGGCCAGTGACGTCACCGGCGGCACTGACGTGTCCCCTCCCCAGACCAGAGGCCCCCGGTAGCCGCCCCATCAAAATGGCGACGGCGACGACGGCGGCGCCGCTGTCGACGCCGGAAGGGGGCGTGTGAACCGGTGCCGCTGCGCGCGTGCGCACTACTGGGTCCGTGCCCGCTCCCGGCGCTTCGCGCCCTGCCAAGCTCTCGCGAGAGCGGTGACTACGTGTCTGGACGTGCAGCGGTTCTCACTTTCTGTCATGGCGCTGAAGGTGGCGGCGGTCGTCGGTGGCGCTGCAAAAGCGGTGCTCAGACCCGCCCTTCTCTGCCGTCCTTGGGAGGTGAGAAGGGGCAGCGGGCCGCGGGGACAGCCGCAGCGCTCGCTGGGCCGGGCCAAGGGCCGCTGGCTAGCGGAGCGTCTTGGAGCCCGATTGGCTGTGGGCCCCGCGAGGGGCGGAGTGAGGGCTCCGCGCCGGAGTTGATTGGCTGCCTCCGCTGTCAGTGAGGGGATTGGATAAAGTTGGCTCTTTGTTGGGCTTTCCCGGGGGGTCTGCGTCTTGGGCGGGGGAGGGGTGGGAGCCCCGCTGGGGAGGATGGAGAGAGCGGCGGAGGGCCGAGTGTCAACTCCCTAGTATATTGTGGGAGTCCTTCCGAGACGATCACGTGTCCTGGCCCGCCTTCTTCTTGTGGCCTTAGGAATCCCGTTCCCAGCCCCCGTACCTCCTCGGGTTTTTCTTTTTCTTTTTCTTTTTAATTTTTTAAATTTATTTCTAAGAGAGAGAGAGAGACAGCGTGAGCAGGGGAGGCTCAGAGCGAGAGGGAGTCACAGACTCCGAAACAGGCTCCAGGCTCTGAGCTGGCAGTCAGCACAGAGCCCGACGCGGGGCTCGAACCCACGAACCGTGAGATCATGACCTAAGCGAAAGTCGGACGCTTAACCGACTAAGCCACCCAGGCGCCCCTCCTCCTCGGGTTTTTCTATTGCGGACCGATTTGCCACTTGTCCCAGTGAAGTTGGAGAATCGAATTTTGCCAAGTACTCCTGACATCACCCCCTCGAACATTCTTTTATAGCTCCAGATGCTTTTTTCATCCCGCGGGCGCCTGGAATGGGAGAGAGCTAGATTTTCTGAGGCTGGTGATGTGGGGTGGCCATAGGGGCTTTGTTTCCACAGTTTTCCGTTTAGGATCTTGGTTATTCATTCAAGTCTCATTCCTCTCTCCTAACACACTTACATGAGAATAACTTAGTTTCCGGGTGGGTTGGAAGCCATCCGAAGCATCATCCAGCCAAGACTGGCTTTAGGGGACAAGACGTATGACCTTGCTCCCTCCACTAACCTACACTGTGGCCACCCTCCTGTCTGTGGGCTCCAGTTTCCCCTCTGTCTCAAAGGATCTAGCCAACACTGACCTTCCAGAATCCTGTGACTTTGCTGACACTCTTTGTGGACGCATGTGGCTGTGTCTCTGCCCTCTGACCCCTCTGGGAGACTACCCAGTGACAGCTTATGCTTTATGAAATCCTGACTTCTACTAACTTGCTGATGAGGGGCTTTCCAGAGGCATCTGATGGTCTGGCGGCTAGGCTCCCTTGGAATCTTGGTGAAGACATTTGTCCCCTCCCTGACTTCCCCTTCTATGTGTCTTGTGTGCTTGTTAGGGTGGGGGTGGGAGCAGTGCCTTGCTCTGAGACTGGTTGTCCCGGGTATGGGAAGCTTTAGAGATGAACCCCAGGTCGTTGGTCCCACTGATTGGGACCTTGTGGGAAGACATGCGGCCACCACTGGCACTTGATCTAGCACAGACATGCTGAGGAAAGGAGCCTCACTAAGGTGTGGAGCATGGGAGACCTTTGTCAGGAACACATACCACCCAGGACTCCTGTCTTTCTGTGGCACCGTCACGGCATGGCTGACAGATCCCCCCTCCTGCTTAACGAATGAGCAGTAGGCGGGAGCATATGCCATCCTGCCTTAAACTGGGCTTCTCTGATGGGTAGCTCCACAGGGCAGCGTAGGTGTGAGGTGGAAGCCGTGGAAGCCCTTGAGGGAAGGTGCCTGTGTCTGTCCTGGGCCAGGTCAGGGGAGTAAGACTATCCTGAGAGCCCTCTGGGTGTTTGGCTAAAGCCTGAAGAAGCATCTAGCATAGGGACTGGGTGAGGGAGAAGTTTGGCCCAGGTGGTGATGTGATCCAAGGTGGGGGTGGGGGCGGGGGCCCAGATACAGAGCTAGGTGCAGGCGGTGGCTCACCACCATGGCCGAGTTACCTGCGTAGCACCAGTGGACTCCCGAGAGGATTCACTGCTGGGAGCTATAAGGGTCCACCGCATGCCACCCCCACCTCTGGGCATCAGCCATGAAAACTGGCCTAAGGGGCTGGCGGAGTGAACAGGGGGGGGGGGGGAGCATGTCCTGCCAGGGACCAAATGGCTTGCTGCATCCTCCCAGCAGCCGCATAAAATGGGTGCCTCTGTCCCATGGGTTTTAGATGGGAAGTCAGCAAGGTTAAGCTATTTGCTCCTGAGAGATAGTGGATTTAGACCGAGGCCTCCCTGACCCTTGAGCCCACCATCTCTTCCTTCATTTTCTGGCATGTTCATTAATTCAGGAAATGTTTCTTATGTCTGAGCTCTGGACCAGGCATTCTGTTAGGTCTTGGGATGACAGGAAGTTGGACCGATATGGCTTCCGCTCTCAAGGGCTTTGGGCTTGGGGAGGGAGCAAGGCAGTCGCTAGGGACATTGTGGTTGGTGGGGTGGGGTGGGAAGGGGGGGTAGGTAGGGCTTTGGGAGCCAAGGGGGACCAACGGCTCAGCAGCCTCACGGCATCCGGAAAGGCTTCCTGGAAGAAAGGGCGTGGAAGCTTCCTTCTACAAGTCGTATCAAGAACCTCTAAATAAGATGAATCCAGGGGTGCCTGGGTGGTTAAGCATCAGACTCTTGATTTCACCTCTGGTCATGATCTCAGGGTCGTAAGGTTGGACTCTGCACGGAGTGTGGAGCCTGCTTAAGATTCTCTTCCTCTCTGCTCCTCTCCTGCTTGCCCATGTTCATTCTCTCTCTGTCTCAAAAGAAAAAAAAGATGAGTCACATACTGCCAAGTGCTAGAAGGGATATTGGAAAGCCCTGAGCATGCCTGTGTCTGCAGATCCGGGGGGTCACATGGATGAGCAGATACCCCGAAGCCTTTGGTCCTAGTCGTTACCCCCTCCTGGCCCCTGGCCTGGCTGGGTGAGCGGCACACCTGTGCTTCCAGAGCCTGTGTGAGCGGCCGCCTTGTGAATACCCGCCTGGGAGACCCAGAGGCGATGACCAGCCTCTGAGCTTTTTAGACTTCTAGCAGGAAGGTATGGCTCTTTGCAAAGCGGCCATGGCAGCTCTGCCGTTGGCTGGAACAGTCTGCTGCCGCCCCAGGAGGCAATCCAAGTGACTAAAGGACCTCGGCTCTGCCCCTGCCTCTATGGATTGAGGGACACCCGGGCACGTTCCCAGGTGGGGAGCAGCAGGGAGCAAAGCGTGAGGACCCATAGGCCATCTGCAGTGGGACGTGTCACATAGCGCGGGGACTCTAGATGGATCACTGCTCAACACCTGTCCCCTTTGGCTCAGATCCCTTTTGCTCTGAAGCTGTCAGATATGGCATTGGTGTGGCTAGACGTGGCTGTCTCTGAGTTGGGGGGTTGGGGACGTTCGTCTTCCGCGCAGGCCACAGAGCAGTTTTGCAGTCCTTTGTGAAAGCCCTCTGGAAGATTGGTGTCTGTTATTCTGAAAACGCTTAGATTTTCCCTGGCACGTTTGCTTCGGACCTGTGATTCTGGAGGGCTGTTCCCACGATGCCAACAGCGATTGTCTCTGGGTAGACGGGGGCTGGGTGCCATCTTTTTACTCTGATCTCCATGTTGGGACTGTATGTTGTTTTTGTAATAAGGAAAAGATTTTTTTTATACATTTTTAAAGTTTGTTTATTTATTTTGAGATGGACAGAGAGGGAGAACCCCAAGCAGGCTCTGCACTGTCACAGCACAGAGCCCGACAGGGGGCTCGATTCCATGAACCGTGAGATCATGGCCTGAGCCAACGTCACGAGCTGGATGCTCAACCGACTGAGCCCCCCAGGTGCCCTGTAAGGAAAAACAGATTTTAGAAATGAGGAAATGATTGTTGTGGCAGCCCTCTGGTTTGTGAAAACGAGTTCCCGATTGTGCCACGGGCAGTGTGCCAACTTTCCCGTGTCACAGACAGCAAACACCCCTGAGCAGGACTGATTATTGGCCAGTAAAGAATCAGGAATAACAAAAGAGAGAAACATGACTTAAGTAACTGATTATGGATTTGGCAGAAGCTTAGAGGGTCGCTGTGACCCTCTACGATGCTTTGACTGGCTGGTCCCGGGGAAACGGATGGAGGCTTTGGAGCCATTTGTCTGGGCACGTACTGCATGCTGTCCACCACGTGATGGTGCAGGGGTGAGGTGGGGGGATGATGCATGGGACCTGGCTGGGCATGGTGGGGATGGTTCCTCTTCCCTGCCAAGAGTTCCCCTGGCCTTTACCGAATTGACTTTCTGGGCTGGATGACAACCACTGGCATCTGCGTTCTCTTTGCCAGGTTCTAGGTGCCCATGAGGCCTCCTGGAGGAGCTTCTCAGTAAGTACCTGCCGGAGTGTATACGTGCGTGCGTGTGTGCGCACACGCGCACACACACACATGTGTATGCTTGTGTTTACATGTGCACGCACCTGTCTGTGCGTCCAGAGACGTGTATGTGTGTGTGCACGTATGTGTGCTGTGCCTGCCTGTTTGTTCCCAGGCCCTCCAGGTCCTCGTCTCTGAGGCATGGCCTGGAGGTCCCCCCCTCCTTACCCGAAGCCCACTGCACAGCACCCCCAGGGAAAAGGCCCCGTTCCTGGGGCACAGCCTTGTTCCTCCAAGCCTGGCTGATTCGTGTCTTCTTCCTTCCTGTTCCCACTCTAGCAACAAACAATTGTGAGTATTCTTCTCATCTGCCTGTTGAGTTTTGGGGCTTTTAGATGCTGTGGGATTGAGCCGAGTCCAGGCGGGGGGTGGGGACTGTTTCTGCCACCATCCTGACGCAGGGGCCCCCCCGTGATTAGCTTGGCTGGCCTGGGCTGGGGTAGGGGGTCAGGTACCCAGAGCTGGAACCTCATGACTGACTGGCCCACCGGGCCCACCATCACCTTTCCGTCTTTCCAGCCTCCATCGGCTAAGTATGGTGGGCGGCACACAGTGACCATGATCCCGGGGGATGGCATCGGGCCAGAGCTCATGTTACACGTCAAGTCTGTGTTCAGGTACACGGCTCCTGGGCCTTCTTCCCCTTGACCCGTGCCCCTAGGGGACGGTTTACCCTGGGGTGGGGGGGCTTCAGAACTGTGCCAAGAGGGATCGTGAGCCCAGAAGCCCACTGGCCAGGGCTCTGCCCAAGCGCCCCGTGAGGCAGTGGCAGGAGGGCTGAAAGCCCAGGCCTTTTGTCCCAGTGCCTGTGATCCCCCCAGGCTGGCCTGGGCGCGGGGCAGGTGGCACAGTGGTCACGCTAACTACCGTAGGGTTAAAGCATGTCCCTATCAGGTGGTGCAGGCGGGCCCAGTCTCCTTTCAGCCAGAGCCAGGTCAGGGTGGGCAGTGGCGGTGGGGAGGCCTCTGCACCCAGTGGTCTGGGCAGGCTTCCTAGAAGAGGCATGAGAAGGTCCAGGGCCCGCCACCTTGACCCAGTTCTGCCCCAGGCATGCATGTGTGCCAGTGGACTTTGAAGAGGTGCACGTGAGCTCCAACGCTGACGAAGAGGACATCCGCAATGCCATCATGGCCATCCGTCGGAACCGTGTGGCCTTGAAGGGTGAGCGTGGGGGCCAGGATGGGGCACTGTGCACAATCCCTTTCGTTTCCAAGCTGACACACACTTGTTGCTGGGGCTGCACGACTCTGACTTTAGGGATTTTCTGGCCAGGGAGGACCCTTGTGCTTGGAGAGTGGACAGAAGCTTCTGGGGTCCGTCTGGGAGCTTGGTGGCACTAGGCTGTACAAGTGCCTGTTCAGTAAAGGGCTTCCTCGGACCACGCCCTTCTCTCCTGGGGCAGCCCTCTCTGCTGGGGTCAGCTTTGACTCTGAGTCTTTTTTCACAAACCACATGTCACAGGGATGCAGTTCTAACCCTCCGCCTGCCGCCTTGCCTCCAGCTGGCCCGGCTCTGGATGTTACAGACAGGAATTCTAGCCCGTTCTCAGTTTGCCTTGGTTTGGTACACGTTCTTAAACTGCTTGTATTACTCACTTTGTAAAGTATAGCTCATCACCTGCTCTGTGTGAGCCAAGATGAAGCCGGGCAGAGAGAGCCCCAGCCCCTGGCAGTCAAGCAGAGGGGCCACCATGGCAACTGAAGGGGGCCTAAGACATTGTGGGCGAAGGCAGTGTAGGCAGGGCGGGGCTCGGGGCAGGCCTAGCGGGCCCTGACGAAAGCCTGCTCTGCTGGGGACCCTCTGGCTGCCTTTTCCTGGGTGCTGCTGGTGCCCTGCTACTCCTGTTCTTTTTGCCGTGGGTCTGCCCCAGGCCAAACCAGAGTCTTTTCCAGGCAGCCCCCACCTGCCCCTGAACCGGGGCTCATGTGGCGCCTCGATGCGGGGCCTAACGGCGACGCTGGCCAAGGTCATGTTGCTGGCGCCAGCCTGGCTAGCCAGCCCATTAGTGAGCAGGATCGGTCACTTTCTCTCCAGCCAAACCCTGATCTTGCCATTTCCTGCCCGGGGTCTGGCAAGATCTCTTTGCTAGCTGCCAACCCTTGTTCATTCATTTGTTCATTCACTAAGTAAGTATTTATCAAGTGCCTGCTATATGCCAGGGCCGCTCTAGGCCCTTGGAACCCATCAGTGAACCGCACACACGCACACACCCCTGCCCTCACAGGGCTTAACATCAGCAACTCCACCCTCGCGCTCCATGAAGTACATCTGCTGGTGAGAGCCACCTCCTCTGGTCGATGCTGCCTTCGGCACGCGTTCCCTCACTCAGGGTGGGGAATATGGTGGCGTCACTGAGCCCATGGCCCCTCTCCAGCCTGTCTTTGTTCTGTCTGGCAGGTAATATCGAAACAAACCATAACCTGCCACCGTCCCACAAATCCCGAAACAACATCCTTCGGTGAGAGCCAAGTGCAGAGGCTGGGGGCTCGGCAGGGGTGGAGTGTGCCAGCAGACAGCTGTGGCACTGACCGGCTGCTCTTCTCTCTGCGTTCCCAGTACCAGCCTGGACCTCTATGCCAATGTCATCCACTGTAAGAGCCTGCCAGGAGTGGTGACCCGGCACAGGGACATAGATATCCTCATTGTCCGGGAAAACACAGAGGGCGAGTACAGCAGCCTAGAGCACGAGGTGGGTGGGGCCCGGGCCCGTCCCCTGTCCTCGGGAGGTGGGGGCTGGGGACAAGCCTGGCCAGGCCCAAGGAGAAGCTTGTGCCAGACGGCCTCTTCTCCCCGTCTCTGTCCCAGAGTGTGGCCGGAGTGGTGGAGAGCCTGAAGATCATCACCAAAGCCAAGTCCCTGCGCATTGCCGAATACGCCTTCAAGCTGGCCCAGGAGAGTGGGCGCAAGAAAGTGACAGCTGTGCACAAGGCCAACATCATGTACGTCCCACCCCTACTGTGCTCCTGCCCGTTCCGTTCCGTAGGCAGCTGTGAGACTGCTGAGCTGAACGGCCTCCGCGGCCCTGCTGTTAGGGACTTGGGGCCCCGGACCCCGGCCACTGCCCGAGGGGCCGTGCTCCGGGGCGTGCCCTTTGCCCCTTTCCCGGCCGCAGCCTCACCACAGTGCACACGCTGGGCGGGTAGAGCGGGATTGTGCCCATCGTCCAGGCGGGGGACTGGTCAGAGTTAGAACGCAGCTTCTCTGGCCATCTGTGCACCCCGTCCCTCCAGCTGACTGTCGTAGTGGCCAAGCTGGTGTCTTGCGCCCCCCTCCTAGGAAACTAGGCGACGGGCTCTTCCTCCAGTGCTGCAAGGAGGTGGCGGCCCGCTATCCCCAGATCACCTTTGAGAACATGATTGTGGACAACACCACCATGCAGGTAGGTGGCCTGCCGGGTTCCAGGGCGGTCTGCCTCGGGCACAAGGGGCTTCCTGTGCACTCAGGCTCTTCTGTCTGTCCACCCTTGCCCTGCAGCTGGTGTCCCGGCCCCAGCAGTTTGATGTCATGGTGATGCCCAATCTCTACGGGAACATCGTCAACAACGTCTGCGCGGGACTGGTCGGGGGCCCTGGCCTCGTGGCTGGCGCCAACTACGGCCATGTGTACGCCGTGTTTGAGACGGTGAGTTTCTGGGGCCGTTGGCCCTTCCGTGCTCTAGAGCTCGCGTCCCGTCCACTTTGCCGAAAGCGTATGATACGGTGCGGCCGTCGCCACCGCCTTCTCCCTGGATGTTGTCGTCCCTGCAGTATTCGGGGCCCCTGGTGGCTCAGTTGGTTGAGCGACGGACTCTTGATTTCTGCTCAGGTCGTGATCTCACAGTTTCTGAGTTCGAGCCCTACATCGGGCTCCGTGCTAACAGCGTGGAGGCTGCTTGGGATTTTTCTGTTTCCTCCTCCCTCTCTCTTTGCTCTTCCCCCACTTGCACCCTCTGTCTCAAAATAAGTAAATAATCTTTAAAAGAAAGGTGGGAGAAACCCTGTGCTTGTTGGCTGCCACTGCCAACCCCTGGCCACCACTCATCTGCTTTCTGTCCCTCCGGCTTTGCCTTTTCTGGCAGTCTCCTACACAGAGTCACACACTGTGTGGCCGCCTAGGGTTGGCTTCTTTCTCTTAGCGTAGTGTTTTGTTTTCCTTAATTTTAGAGAAAGAGCGTGTGAGCAGGGGAGAAGGGCAGAGGGAGAGAGAGAATCCTAAGCCGTTCTTATGCTCAGTGTGGAGCCCTATGTGAGGCTCGATCACACGACCCTAGGACCATGACCTGAGCTGAAATCAAGAGTGGATGCCCCACCCACTGAGCCCCCCATGCACCCCACCAATGTAGTATTTTGAAGGCTTATCCATGCTGTACCATGGCTATATGGCCCAACAATGTTCCTTATTATGGCTGAATAATATTTTATCGTACAGGCACCACGTTTTGTTGATCTATTTGTTAGCTTCTATTTTTAAGTCTTTTTTTTAAATGAGGTAAAATTTGCATAACACTGAAACCATTAAAAGAAACTTTATTAATGTTTATTTTTGACAAAGAGAGAGAGACCGTCCGTGAGCAGGGGAGGGGCAAAGAGAGAGGGAGACACAGAATCCGAAGCCCCCAGCTGTGCTGACAGCTCAGAGCCCGATGCGGGACTCAAACCCGTGAACAGTGTGCTTATGACTTGAGCTGAAGTTGGGCACTTCACCGACTGAGCCACCCAGGTGCCCCCAGAGTGAAACCATTTTTATTTTTTTTTTATTTTTTATTTTTTTAAATATTTTTATTTATTTCTAGGAGAGAGAGAGACAGCGTGAGCAGGGGAGGGTCAGAGAGAGAGGGAGGCACAGACTGAAACAGGCTCCAGGCTCTGAGCTGGCAGTCAGCACAGAGCCCGACGTGGGGCT